AAGCCGTAGTCTAGTTTGTTGTTTTGTACATTTCTGGACATAATTTTTACTCCATCTGACTTGACAATTCTTTTTAAAGGTTTGACATACTTGGTCGTTTCTAATAGGTTATTCACATACATACAACGTTTACATCGCTTTGTTTAAAAAATAATATATACGATGCATCGAGGCAAAGCAATGCCAAGCGAAGGGACATACTTAAGTAAATGTTGGGCCACTTTCCCAAGCAACGGTTACCATTTTTATTAGAGACAAGCACAGAAAGCAAAGCGTTCATTCTGACATAATATCCTTTGCTTTCTTAGCTTCGTTAAAGGGCACAAAATACCATAGGTCGCGGTACAAACCTCTTTAAATTATATTTTAACTTCTTCATTAAAGTTAGAAATGAGTAAAAACACGTCAAGTGGACCCCCCATTTTCCACTTGATCATCGAATTTGAATGTGAGTATTTGTTCATAAAGTAGTCATCATGAGCAAGTAATCCCCCGCTCAGTTTTTTAAAATTTTAATTTTAACAACAATTTTTTTTTAATTGAAAATTTTTACTACTTTTAGTTAAAAAATTAATAACTAGAAAACTATTTTTTATGACTAAGATACTCAAAAATATTCAATTTAAAGAAATTATGAATTTTTAATACTTAAAGAATAGGACATTCCAGTTAAAAATTTGGCCTTGAAATATTAATAGCTGGTATTCAATACATTCTGGTGGATTAGGGAATTCCCGTCTTAAGTATTTCTTTGAAACTAAAGGAGTAAAATAATTATGAATTTTTAAAACTTAAAGATTCGGAAATTCTTGTTATAAATTTGGCCTTAAAAATATTAGTAGCGGGTATTTAATACATTCTGATGGATTAGGGCATTCCCGACTTAAGTATTGCTTTGCAAATATTGAGCGGGTAGGTATTATGCATATTGTTCTACCACATTTATGGAAATTCATTGCAAAATATGAGACCATCAACCCAACATTCAAATGAAATATTCAACACATTCTAAGTGTCGCCAGAGAACGTATATCATACGTACATATACGTTCTCTGGTGTCGCGGAGCCGAACCACACAAACATTTGCGAAAATTTTATGAAAAGGAATACCAGAAAAACTCGATTTGAGTTGCGGGACTCTTTTTGCTCGTGTGAATGCACAGAGCGACACCAAAAGAGAATTTGCCGATAATGAGGGTCAAAAGATTATCATGTAAAGGCAGTATTATAGTACATTGGGACCTGTATTTATGTGCGTACGGATATGTATGCGAACGGGGAATCAAGTATTCAGCAGCCCATTGTTATTATCTGTCTGCTCCTCTGTCCTTCGTACATATGAACATACTCGTATATATGTATGTATATAGCAGTATTATAGCAATTTGTTGCTTCGAGTGTTTTGCTCGAGTATGTGTCTGTCTGACTGACTGTTCGTCTATATCCCTACAAGAAACTGCTGATGGGTTCACCAATACACTCACATTTATTATGTCAGTACGGACAGTCAAATGAACAATAATATTACGTCGAAAGGAGACAGCATACATTTCCATAGAAGTTTCGAGAAGTTGTGAAATACTTATGTAACAGTTATTTCGTGCGACAAACCAAAAGTGTTGCGTGCTTCTGTGCAATAACCATTTTTGTTTTATTAAAAATAAAAAAAAAACAAAGAAGCTTTAAAATGGAATATTCGTAAGATTATTAAGTTTAAAATAAAATAATAGTTTCCGTTAATTTTAATTTTTATTTAGGCATATTTAAATTTCGTAATACCCATGAACTGGAGAAACACGTACAGCAGAGCTTTTAGGAGGAACAGCCATGGAATTAAGTGAAATTTTCTTTTCATAATTTATTATTGTTATTAAATTATATTTTTGTTACACTCTTTTTTTATATTTATGTATATTATTATAACAAATTTTAATTAAAAGTTTTGAATTTATTAAAGAAATAAAAATTATATTATCTACTGCGCAAAAGAATTTTTCACTTGTGATAGATTTACAGACATAACTGACAATTTGCAGCTATGATAGCTTTTTAGTCATATCTGACAATTTTTAGCAATGATGGATTTATGGTCAACAATGACTCAGAAAAGGACATGAGAGTGAGCAGTATAGATATATAGTGAACCAATTCCGAATACCTATGTGTTAAAGAGAGATGCAAACTCACACACATGCGTTTGTTTACATCAGTTTTTGCACAGGGCTCTTAAGAAAATTATAGAAACTTTGTTCTGCGCGCTGACAAAATTTTTTCAGCTGTGACTGTCATATTACCGGTCAGATGACTGTCACTGTTCTTGTAGGGATGGTTTGCTGCATGACGTTTACTGTCAATGCGGTGAGCAAACGGGTAAATTTGCGAATACAGTACATGTTGTATGTATGTATATACATCGTGGCTAGAAATGTTTTTATTTACGACGAGCAACTCAGCTGAGCCCGAATGGTGTTTTGCATACTTGAATGCAGACAGCTGTGTATATGTATGTATGCATTATTGAATGTATGCAAGTGCCGTTTCAGACAGGGATGCAAAAGAGTCTGATCTTTTTCAAATTTTCTTTTGGTGTCGCTCTGGGCATTCACACGGTCAAAAAGAGTCCAGCAACTCGAGTCTAGTTTTTCTGCATTCCTTTTCACAAAATGTTCGTAAATATTTGTGCGGTTCGACTGCGCAACACCGCGCAACACTGCATGCTGCGTATTTCATTTGTATGTTGAGATGATGGTCACACATTTTGCTTGCAATGAATTACCATGAATATGGTAGAACAATATGCATAATACAAGTACCTACCCGCTAAATAGTTTCAAAAAAATACTAAAGACGGGAATTCCCTAATCCACAAGAATGTATTGAATATCCGCTACTAATCTTTTCAAGGCCAAATTTATAATAGGAATTTCCTAATCTTTAAGTATTAAAAACTCATAATTTCTTTACTCCGTATTAAAAATTCATAATTTCTTTACTCCATAATCTATATCTTAATTTTCTCCTTATTTACAATTTGTCATAATATTTCTATTATTCTATGCATACGTATTTGCATATTACATACAAAAATAGATAACAGAACTCAAATTTGCGATCGAATTCATTTGAAACCGAGCGCTCTTGCAACCATTCAAAGGATTTGAAAGTGAAAAGGAATGCTGAAAAGGGTAGCAGCGAGCTGTTACGAAAAAGAACACAAAGCGTGCCACCCGAACACGAGTGGCACGGTCCCTTCGTCTTTCCTCGTCGTCCCCTCGCCCACAATAAACTGGTTTGAGACTCTTTTGCGTCCCTGTCTGAAACGGCACCAAGTGTTTTCGCACTTCATATTGGAATCATGGATAAAATGATCCGAAACTCTCTGATTTGAGAGAGCGCTGTCGAAGTCCAAATTTTTTATAACATTTGACAGTGGTGCCACTGTGGAAAAAATATGTTAGGGAATTTTTATTACATTTTTTGAGAATTTATAATTTCCACACCACCGCTGAGGTATACAAAAGTCGCGTTACCGAAGTTAGTAGGAATAAAATCACAATAATTTCCAAAATTCACAAATAATATAATAATATACAAAATTCATCATATAAGAAAAAACTTAAAATTTGATAAACAAAATATCACATTCACATATAATAAAGCTGTTGACAGCAAATATTTAAAATAAATAAATAAATATAACTAATGCCTAATATTTACATATTTACATATATAGAAAATACCCTCCACCCAGTTTTCAGTAATAATTAATTATTTAAAACTATAAGGACCGAAAAGAAAATAAGAGCTTTGAAAATAGCTCAACTTTATATATTTACATATATGAGAAAAAAATTCAAAAAATAAAGTTTACACACATATGCTTGCGTAGGGATTTGAAGATATTTTACCACCTACTCCTAAAAGCCTAATCTACCTACAAGTGAGAAACGCATACAATTTTCGACTTAAAATTAGGGGTGCTAAGGCTTCTATTATAGAATTTTATGAAAAAGAAAATTCTGATTCTTACGAATAATGTTAATACTAAATCTGTGTTGATGTTGTCACAACAAGAATACGGTCTTGCACTTTTTAATTAATCGAATAAAATCTACCTATCCTATGACAAGTTGAATCAAATTCCTTTAGAAAATTGTTTTCTAATTTTTTTAAATAATCTAAAAATCCCTGCGGCGGTCTTACCAAACTACACCTGTCAACTTGTCTTTGTTGAATAAAAGGAAATTGGCTTGAAATGTCTTCTTTTCCTATATATGGTAAGGGGGGAGCAAGCGTGTGTCTTATAAATTTTTAAATAAAGATAACCGCAGAAATATGCAAATGCGTTTTCTTTTATAAAATCGACTTCTAAATCTAACTCTAAATTTTTTCCTACTGCTATCCGATTAAAAATATGGCCTAGTCGTGGTAGACCTTGAAATTCTTGCCAAGAAAGATCCCGTACCACATTGTCATTGCACACACTTGCTATTATTTGGTGAGACTGTGCAATTGAAAAATTTTCGTTTTGTGGAACGGGTTTGCAGTTCCCTTTACTACGATATTGGCATATCTTAATCCCCAAGATTTTTTGAAGAGGTTACAAAACATGTAAGGTGTAATCCTTACACTTCTTCCACCTCCTCTTCTAATATGTCCGAAATAGTGTTCTAAATTGTCCTGGCAAAGTCTTCTCGTCTGTAGGTTAGTAAAGCCTGACTTTGACAAAAACCGCCACAAACGTCTTGAACTACGCAACGCACGGGATTTTGGGAATCCTTATTATAAAAATAAATAATGGCATCCCAACTCACCGGACGCGATTCAAAACTGACTTTATTTTTTGAATTTTCTAAACAATACCTAGTTCTTTTTAGAAGGTGGGGGCTATCAAAAAAAAATATATATCCTTGCCATTGACCTGAGAATATAGGCGCTCTTCTGTTACTCCTGAAATCCTAGATAAATATACAAAGTTAGATCCCTGGTCTGAAACAAAATGGCAAGGTATGAGACCTAAGTTTTGTATTTGGGTGATGGCCTCAAATATATATTTTTTGGCAATATCCCCTTTACAGGATTCATGGACAATGAAATAGGAGAGTGGGTGTGACCAAGGCATTTCACCAATACCTTGAACCATAAGAGTCATTGCGCTATTAACTATTCGCGACGTGCGATTTTCATCGCTATCCTATAATTTTATATATAATATTTATTTTCTTTGACATTCCTTTCATTTGAAATTTTAAATAACTAATCTCCTGATCTTTTTCTTCTAATTTAACCCTCAAACTTGCGTTTTCCTCCATTACCTTTTAAATTTTTCTTGCGAAGGATGTCAAGCTAAAACTAGTTTGACATCCTTTTTCTAATATAATATCGCCCATGGAAATATTTTCCAAAACTCCTATTTCCTGTGGTTGTGCGTCTTCGGCTACAGACGCTAGTAATAATAGGTCGCCCGAACTTGAGGGGTTCTCGACTATTTTGGGTTCAAAACCTGATATGCTTAATTCAATAGTCGAATTAGGCTTCACAAATTCTACCTGAAAACTGGGTGTAGGAGGTAAATTTAGGTCTGGAACCGCAGTTGGTGACAGTCTCTTCAAATATTTCACTTCATCAGAGAAGTGACGGTCACAGGCATACAAATATTTTGATTGTATCTCCTACACCCAGTCGTTGCATCCAAAGAGTATACTTAAATGCAAACAAATATACCTTAAACCTTAATAACTTTACTTATTATACTATATTTGAAAATAAAAATCTACTAAATAAAACTAATATTGCAACATTTATTAGTATTTACGATACTTTCTACTCTCGTTTCATTTAATTACATTTATATTTTATAATTAAAGTACTATTTACATCTACGCTACTCAAAACAATATATTAAATTGAATTTATTAAATATTAAAATTCTATTTTCTAAATTATGTTACAAATAGGGAAATTGAAAAACCGTCGCGCTCCTACGCACCCAGCCACACACCGATATTTACATTTAAGCATTTTCCTATAATTTGTTAGGAAAACGTTATATAATTGGGTACATATATTTGCTACGGCTTTAATAACATACTTATCAATTTTATTTTATATATACACACTTATACAAATATTTTTAATTTTATGAAAAACAATATCACATTAACTATTGCTGCTTCAGCATTAAACTTTCTTATGAAAAATAATGAATTGATTTTGTCAGTTATTTTTAACGGGATTTTATCTGGCAGTTCATTGTTTTGGTTGTCATCTGTTCAGTAGCTCATGAATTCGTGGTTTTCTTGGCAGCACTGAAAGTTCATGAGCTCTCTCAGAAAGCAAAACGAGGAGTTTCGGATCATTTTATCTATGATTGGAATTCGTTAGCGAACAGAAGTAAAGACAGTGCTGGTAAGAATAATATATTGTATAATATGAGAAGCCGGAAAATAACGTTTTTTGTTTTATTAATTTTTTATTTTTAGAATTTTTTATTTTTATATGGATACGCCAAAGGTGGGTGTAAAGCTTTCACAGATATTATTAGCCCGTACCAACAATTATGCCCGATTAACTGTACAATATAAACTGTACAGCGCATACGTGGTAAATTACCACCCCTTGCTCTCAGACCTGTGTTTCCCTGCGGAACTACCGTATGTGTAGGTAAGACATGTGGCTTTCAAGAAGAAATAAAACACATAGTATTTAATGTTATGACTAAGAATTTAGTTTTATTATAAAGATAAGGGTTTACTATTATGTTTTAAAAAACAGGCAAGTGACAGGTGCGGCTGGCTCTAATACATTCCAGCCGAGAGACCCAATTTTCGACCACTTCTTGGCGCCACGCCAAAGGCACAGGACGAGAGATAATGCGCTGACTTAAAGATTCTTTTAATAAATTGATAGTTTCGTTGTCTGTGTGGCATGTAGCGTCTTGTTGGAACCAAATGTCGTCCACATCAACATCTTCCAATTATATGGCGTTTCCCATTGACCGCCTTCATTTTTGAAGAAATATGGAGCAATGATTCCCACTGCCCATAACGCACACCAAAGGGTGACTTTTTGAGGATGGAACGGTCTTAAGAATGGCTTGTTAATTATTATCACTCCAAATGCGACACTTTTGTTAATTAACACTAAACCTACCGACATATTATATATACCTATTTCTACCGATGGCGGTCAAATGACCGCTTTTGAAATAAACAGTCTTTTCCAGCTGAATGTAATTAATACAGAATTTAGCATAAACAATTAACACCAAATAATTATCATAAAATTATTAAAAAACATTTATTTTTCGGACTTTAGGAGTACATTTTTAGAAAGAAGGCTCGAAACTGAAAAATTATACATACATGTATATGTATGTTACTTTAGTAATTTACATATGTATGTAATTATCCTTATTCAAACTAAAATAAGATTTATTCGTTGTCGCACTTTTTACAGATGGAGGGTCTTTCCCGTAAGCATTTTCCACAAACATATTTTTTACATGTAGAACAAATATTTATGGTTTTATTTTTTTTTGCAATATCCAATTTAACACGATTCGACTTTCAGAAATTGTAGTGGAATCTGCTGAAGTTTTCGCCGTACTTTTCATCTTATTTTTTTTGGTCGTGTACTGTATTCGTGGTATTCGGTGTAAACCTCCTCGGTCCTCTGCCAACTGAAATGCTAGTAATTCCTTCTTATTCGCCCGAATAGTTCCTACTAAGGTAGTTCTTTTTGATAAAAGTTTTATTGTGTAGTAAAAAAATTATCGGTGGTTATATTTCTTCCGTACCCTATATATGGTTCAGGGAGTATGTATACGCTCGTAAATGATTCGCGTAAACAAAAACCGCGACGGAGAAAGCAAAAGCGAAAGAAAAAGAAGTTAAATATCAGTAAAATTCAAAAATCGGCCACCATCGTCGACGATGACATATGCTTCAGGTGTCCCTTTAGGGACAACGCCAATTTTTGAACTTTAATTGAAGCATAACTGTGGCGTAAAACGACGCTTTACTTGTTATAATGAGTAATTTCTATTTCTTGCATGAAACACTATAATTTTTTGCCTCTGTCACTATCGCTGCCACAGCTGACTCTGCGCCGCTGTCAAACGCACGGGTCTCCCACACAGTTCACTCACCAACAGAGAACCAAACGCCACTCCTCAGAATAGAAAATGCCGTTACTAATGAAGTAACAACAATAATTTATGCTTTACTACGGCGGGGTGGCTGATATTATATCCATACACATATGTATGGGCGAGTGGGGATTTATGTTCGTGTCGACCGCAACAGATCGCTGGCTACCCTGTTATTGGAGACCATAATGTGATTACTATTTTGATGTAACTTTCAAATAATTGTACTTGTACTTGTAAATAAATTTTATTTTTTAGTTTGAATGGGTAAGTGCGCCGACCAATGCTTTAGAGTATTGAAGATGATGGTTCCGCGCGAGCTCTAGTTTACATACAGTAATTATTTGAACAAGATGTACGGAAATGCGAAAAAGTTTTACTTCTAAAACAATTTATCTTTTTAATTCTTAATTATATGCTTGTGATTAAATTATTTTTTCAATATTTAATCCCGTATTTGGAATACGAAACCCTTGATTTAAAGCGGCACCCATTTCTAAATTTTCTGTAAAAATGATATTTTAATTCAACACTTTAAAGTTATTTGAATAAAAAAAATAATAAATTTTGTTAATAACACACTTTATAATTCGCTTAGAATGCGGTATTCAGATCTCTTTTGCATGAAACTCAAAACTATCAAATCTTGTTGCTGCTTTGTGAATGGATCATCTACAAGACTGAATCCAATGTCAATGTGGAACTTTAATCCGAAATAAACCTCCTATCGCCATGTACTGATCCCCCTTTGAGCAATGTTCATACTTTTATAGTAATCTCAATGCATTCAGTTACCAGTTGCATTTACTTGGCCGCACCTCTGTGGTCTTTTCAGCCATAAGTCAATGTTGGAAATCATCCGGAACGTCCAACCTCCATTTCGACTGACTTCCCTCCGTCTTTGCCAGCTCTTCAAGCTTTTGTAATCTCTGCTCGATAATTTTCTCTTAGGATGATAAGTCCGTTACAGGCTTTTTAATCTCATTGGCCAAGAGATCTAATGGGTGTAAGCCCGCGATTACAAGAGCAGCATCTTCCGTTACTAGGTTTGCTTCTACGGAAGTCAAATCTATCACTGAGTGCCGTCCACCTTTGTTGAATGATGCAAAAACTTTTAGTAAAGTTTTGCCCTTATTATTTGTTATTTTGCATCCCCATTCAATAGCCGAGGCATTAAAATCGCCGGCTATTACCAAATTAGTTTTACTTCGGGCATCAGTCACTAGATGGTCGATGATGTTCAAATTCTTCATCATTGATGCTAGGAGGCAAATATCAACTATAGATACTTGTATTAATATCGCGAACTGTTGCTCGAAAAATGCCATTTGAAAGGTGTGCGTTTTCCAGCTGCGGAGAGTTAGGGTTACATTTCCTTATAGCCGCTTTATTTCTTGAGTGCACCTTCACCGGTTTTGTATGGTTCGCTGAGCAAGATCAAATCGATCTGCTTTTCAAGGACTAACTATAGGACTTAGGAAGGTCCTGTACTGCTTGACGGTGGTGTAGATTACGTTGTATAAATCTCATCTTCATTTTAGGGTTTGCGCCACTTTTTTGTGTACCGGGCATGTAACTCTCCCAGTGAAGTGATCCGTTTCCCTAGAGCCTGCGTTCAAGCTATTTAACTTATTGAGGCAGTCTGTATATACCCATATTCTTCTATATGCTCTATAGTCTACATGTTCTAAATGAATTACCAATGTTTTAAGCTTACAACAGGCTGAACATCACCTATTTTCAAAAATTCTTGATTACGTATCTGACAAATGGAGGATCCTGTATGTTTAAAGTCTACTTCGAACGAATATATAAAATCAGACAGTTTCCAGAAATTGTTAATAAAACGAAAAATTTTTAATCTTCATCAATATTTATTTTATCGCATTCAAAATATGCTTCTTCTGAAGCGATTAATGTATGCCACCATTTTTTGTAATCATCGAAACATGCCTTGTAGCGGATCGCCTTCTGTTCCCTCTGCGAATTTTCTTTTACGGCTTTAATTGAGTCGAAACGGGTTCCACGGAGTAATAACTTGAGTTTTGGAAACACAAAGAAGTCGCATGGGGCCAAATCCGGTGAATACGGTGGTTGATCGATGGTATTAAACGAATTTTTGATCTTAAAATCGTTCATTATACTCTGTAGCAACATGTTGTACCATGAAACCAGAAAGTTTTCGGACATTTTTTTTTCGATATTCGAGATTTGGTTCATCATGAATTCGTTCCAAGTTACAGCCGGTCAATAAAGAGTATTGTTTGAGCGTTTTGAGATGAAAATATTTGTCGTAAACGGCCGGAATTGTGGGCCAACAATTTCCGGAAACTTTCTGGTTTCAATGTTATTAATTTGAACAGAATTTTTTCCTCAGAAATATGTTCTTCGGATGATTGCTATACCTGTAACATTTTTTAGTTTAAAAGAAACGCAGCCTTTGTAAATAATAATTAAAAATCTATTAATCTAATTTTTAAAATGATAAAAGAAACGAAGCGTTTTTTGAAGAAACTCTGTGACTTATGAGTTGGTAGTTGGCAACGCCGGTATACTTTCATATGTATATACATTTATACAAAACTAGTCAAACAACTGAGCGTATAGATGGTGAGGGCGAGTGGGTAGTTGGCGTACAAACAAAGCTGGAAATAAACACCTATACTCGAGTAAATTATTTTGCCAACGTTCCAAGTATACTTTTAAAAGTGTGGTTTTATGGAAATAATTTTTATCTTGTTGTTGTGCTCCATATACTGTCAGCAATTTGTTCGAAATTCATATAAAACTCTCTTTTAATCGTTTTTAGCGCGCATGGCATGTTGTACATTCGATAACGTCTCCCCCGGGATTGCTTTTAGGTGTACATATATCCGTTAGCCTTTTTAAAACCTCTAGCATGAAGGAGATGAGGCTTATTGGTCTAAAATCTTTTACGTTATCGTGTGTTCTTATATCCGGTTTTAGTAAAAGCACCACTTTAACTATTTTCCAGCTTCTCGGTATGTAGAATAGTTGGATGCTGGTCTTATGTATATCTTTTCTAACCTTTAAACCATTGGCTCCTTAGCTTCTGCATAGGGTCAATGTTCCACCAAGGAGGCGATTTCCTCTTTTAGAGAACTGTTAATTTCTAACTTTTCCTCCTCTTCACCTAATTCTTGAATATTATTGATTTTATTTTAATATTTGCTATCCCATGCTGTTCTTCTAGCGTTTCGATATTGGAGGGGAGTATTGGATTTCTCGCGAATGTTGAAGAATATCCAGAAGTTCCTCGGGCACTCTCCAGTCATCAACGACCAGGCAATCTGTTTCTGCTGATATCGTTAGGTCCAAGGCTTCTTCCCAACCCGCAAAATTTACCGAGCTTGGGAAAATAAAAATTAGCATATCGCCCCTATCACAAATTTTTAAATTGCTATTTAGTACTTATATATTCTGAAAGAACGACTTACCGCTGGTGTTTGTGTTGGAGCTTTCCTATATGGTGTGCTTCGCGTTGGCGTCACATCCTATTGGAATGTCCTCCTTACTGTTCTTCTTTGTTAGTCTTAAGTCCTGGTCGTGGGTCATGTAAGAAGAAACCATAAAGATACTCTTTCTTCCTCCACCTTTTCCACTGTGGTACATACACATAGCCAATAAAGTCACAATAAAAATAGGTAATTCAGTACAATTTTTTTACATGTACTTCTATCTTCTTTTATTCTTAAGTTCAAAATGCAAAAACCAAAAATGTATATCCTACTGTCGTCGTCGACCTCTTCTGTGTCAACTTCGTCAGCCGCTTTGTAGCCTTGGAAGATTTCCATCCTGGCCTTGCGGATATCGAAGCTGATTTTGTGGTCAGCTTCCGATAGAGCTTTTATCGACTCCTCGCATATGGCCATTAATATTGATTTGCTGGTTTTGTTGGGTTTTTCCTCATTGAGCAGTCGTCTATACCATATACAGACCTGTTTTGCAGCTTGATGTACCACAGGATGCGAGCACGAGGCCTCCTTGGGATATGCTTGGCGGATATAAGCCTCAGTTTGAGGATTACGAAGGCATCGCTTAGTCAGCCACACTATCCGTCAGAAAATCGAGGGAGGCTTGGTCCGACAATCTGACGTCGATCTCCATTTACTCTCCTGTATGGTGTTCGGTGAGGAGTTCGCGTCTATGACACCCATCTGCATGCTGTCTCTGACCACATCACTGATGTACCTTGTTGTTGTTGTATTGTTCTGCTTTTGTTTGGGTTTTTGGAGCAGAGTTTCCGTCTCTTCATTCTGAGAGCGATTCCTTTTCGGGGAAACTTACCTGCGTACTGGTTTCGACGGGACGTTCTGTTTGTTTTATTTTCAAGAAACTTTCATATTCCTCCACTATCAACTGAGGTGTCGGCAGCCTGATGCTTGGCAATATTACTAAGTATAAAGACTGCCCTCTATTTCCGGATTTTCCTAACTTGATTCAAGGACTTCTTCCTTTCCTTTTCTTATTTTGCAGCCACTGCATTTTGGTTGGTACTAATGGCTGGTTTGGAGGTGGCTGTTTTTCGTTTGTGCTTGGGGTACATTGTTTGGTACCCGCTGTGTTTGCTGCTGTCTCCACCGGTGTACTATCATTGTTACATCCGGGAACACTCTTAATCGTCTCCTGGCTGAAGGCGAGGAGGGTGTCTGCGTCGGACCCCGATACCAGTCCTAGAGGACTATATTTTTTTAGTTGTATTTTGTACATCACTTTAACAAAAAAAAAATAAATGCATGTGTTCGTATGTATAAAGAAATAAATAGTTATATGCAATTTTTATATTTTTCCTAATGGACTCTGTATTCTTGATTTCCGGTGCTTCAAAGTATTATATTTTTACTCTGCTAACAGGTCCTACGAGAGTAAAAGGAATCGAGACATATTGTATGATAATACGTAGAAATATGATATAAGCATGGTTTCAATTGAAAATTAAAAACTTGTTTACCTTGGATCCTTTGTTTATAACAAAACCAGAAACTTCAGCGTATAAATCGGTAGATTGTGAGCTCGATCGGGATATTCGTGAACGATATGTCCAACACCTTCCATTTTACAATCTTCCAAAATCATTTTGTCAATTGGGTTCATCGTCTTCGATGTTCATATGGACTTTCGGAATTTAGATAACCACTTACGAATTATTGTTGCACCTGGGTAAATACGACAATTTGACAACTAAAATATTGTATGTAGTGAATCAATTTTTGAGATCTAACCACAAAACGTCTTATAGAAATTAAATTATGTTTTCAGCCTGTCTGGCATATACATATACTAAATATACTATGGTATAATGCCACAATACACTTGACCCAACCATTCTATATGGAATTGAGCGACTAAGCACTAAAATGCGCAGATAAGGAGCTAAAATTTATTTTAAGAAATTCAAGCACTAAAATGTCGATCAAAAATGAAAACAAATATTAGAAGTAAACAATGCTGGAATATATACTTTCAAAACTATGGAAATATAATATAATAGATGGAAGAGAGTCACACAATTACACAGGACATCAAAAACAGGTTTTCTCGGCGAGCATGAGCTGGAAAGCAACTCATTGGCGATTATATGAGTCGTACGTAGACTATTAGCGCCATCTCATCATTATTATGCACGGTGCAGCAGAAAATACAAGAACTTTGCAATGGATTGCTGACCTATTAATTTTAATTTTATTTATAAGTTGTTTAACCATAAAGTGATAAACTATATTTGTGTACAAATATGATGAATCTGGTATAATAATATTAATTTTATATTAATACAGATTAATGTTTAAAGTCTGAGATTAATCAATCAAAAGAGAAGTCTAGTGAGTAGTATTTTTTGCGTCTTCTAAGCTGTTGACTATTGTCCAGCGGTTGGATCGCAAGCACATTTTCATGGATCATGAACAAACGAAACAGCTGTTTTCCTATGTGTGAGATCACCTGGTCGAAATCTGCCACACAGGAACTATCCAAAATATTTTCGAAACAAATATATTGCATATTTATTGTTTTTCCTCACCACATCTGAGGATGCAATGTAGGCGTGTTATCGATCTTTTATGGGTGTTCGGTTCCCCAGGAGGCCTATATTTACCCGTATAGTATAAACAGTTCTAAATCAAACTACTTTTCATAACAAATATAACTAGAAAACACATGTATATAAAATCAGGTTCACTTAATGGATAGTGATTACATTAACAATATAAGTCGAAATAATCACCTTAAACCAAATTATATATAAACGATCGGGTACAATCCATAAACAACATAATAATAATCCAAGCAACGTACTAATTAACACGGCAACACACTGTAGCAGATTTGAAGCATTTTTAGTAGTAAAATATTAGTAGGCAACCCGTATCAAGTGTGACTTCAGTGGTAGGGATAGAAACAGCGAGAAAAAGTCGACTTTTGACTTTACAATTTTTCAATTACTGAATCATCGATACTGATGCTGGTGGGGTTACATTTGTGTCAATAAGTCTTTGCACAATATTGTTGATGCCATGTCCAATACACGAAATGCCATAACATATTTCTATTAATTTAGACCTCAAATTTTCAATCGTTTTACGCTCTTCCATATGATAAGCTACTAGCTTAACGGTTTTTATTTCAACTCCTAATAAAAATTACAGATGAATGAATGATATAAAATTTTATAGAATCGTTTGTTATGATGATAATTGACTAGCCTTTCAAGTAGTGGACTGTCAAACCGAGATAACTATTCATCGTATGATGCTGTGTCCAAATATCTGTCGTTAAGCAAACAGACTTAGCTTGTTGAATCTCGACCTTAACTTTATTAGATAAGTCCTGGTATTTTTGAATCATCGCTGCTGTCAATGTCGGTTCGTGTGGCAACCAAATACAATGGCTGAATTTTGTTAACAAGCGCTTTGAATCCTGCTCTTCCTGGAGTTGATAAAGGCATATTATCAATAGCGATCATGCGAACAAGAGCTGTTGTTACTTGGTTATGTTTCCAACGTCCAACTGATAAGTGACAAATAAAATAATAGTCAATAAATTATTTCTTCAACTAAAGTCCAAAAATTAAATTAATGAATACCGGCAAAAGCAGTAGCATTATTTATACAGCGATCAAGATGCCCCTGATGAATATTAAGATAGAGTGAGGAAGTTGACTGAAAAGAAAGAGTGCTTTTATTTTCTATAGAAACTGATGAATGAGAAGCAGATGATTCAATAGCTATCAAAGCCTGGAAAGAAAAAAAACTCTACTTTTTCACAAGAAAAAAAATTAACCAATAGAAATAATCTTAGAATCTTTTGATAAATTTTAAATAAAATCACCAATTTAAGTAAATATAACTAATTACCGTTTTAGGTTGAATCACTAAATCATGTTCTCCACCGTTTGCTATTTTCCGTGACGGAGTATCTTTGTTTGAAGGAGCATTAATTTTAGGAGATGATTGCAGGTGCTTCATCATAGTTGATGTGCTCTTATAAAATAGAAATTATTTTTTTACATATATTACACTTTACTTTATTGCCATGGTCGGTTTTGGAACAATAATTCCAGATAAAACTAGGAGCCATAACAATACAATTATAATTAAAATTTGATTTCTGGTCACTAAGGGTACACACAGATTAAAATTATATGGAAATGATATTTGCCTCGGTTATACTTATTTAAAATGGTTACCAAGAATACCAGCGATGATATTTTTATGATCCAATCAGCCAACAGTATTTCAGTTTCTCGTACAACGCAAACAAGTGCAAGAAAGACAACTTGAGCAACTTTTAACAAATTTCACTATACGATAACAACTGTTTAAAAAAAGTCGAAGTCATCGAGTGAGAATCGATTTTAATCGTTTCGTGAGATGTTCAAGTCAAGTCTAAAAAGTCCATTATTTTCATTAAAAGATCGATTCCATAAATCTTTATATATTGTAACGGATTTCTCGATAAATCGTCTACCTGTAACTCACTCTTGAGTTCGATCACTGGATTGTTAAATAAAAGTCCCAATTTAATGGCTACACACTTATCTTTATTTCTAATTCCAACAACTTAACACTTATTGCTACAACTTCTTACTTATAGCTTAATTGCTCTTATCACGACAACACTTTAACTAGAACTGTGTTTGCTGCACAATCCGGCAGCCCTTAGATAGTAAATCTGTGACAAAACATTGCTTCTAGAACATTCTGGCAACTACGAATTCGGTAACTAGTTGCTTCTGGCAGTTTATCGTTCATTCGATTTTGTTCTATCATCTATATTCGTCACACTGCCCTCCACCTAAGTCTGATCGTCCCGATTAGACATATTTGCGATACCAAACACAAAGCTTTTATGTCCCCCATCTCGTCTTCTAGGCTGGTGCTGACATCGTTAGCCGTCCTTCTCTGCTTGGAGTTAATTCCATCCGTTTTCCGGATACTCAGTTTCTGGTACATCCCTTGACTTAAAGCTGACTTGAGATTCCATTCTTGATCAGAACGTAACTCCATTGGAACACCGAATCTCGTTACCCACTTGTTGATGAATGCCTCCGCCACTGGTTCAGTCTCTTGGTTAGGAATTGTGTATACTTGTGGCCATTCATTGAAATGGTCCTTGACTACCAAAACATGACTATTTCCTAATTTATTGGTTGGGAATGGACCATCTTCATACACGCCTATTTTCTCAACTGGCGCACGCGAATTGTGCTGTTTCATCTGCCCATGACTCCTGGACCTTGATCCTTTAGCTACAATGTTCTCAGCATATTTCGCAATCCTTCCTATAGCTGATTGACAACCAGTCCAATAAAACCTTTGCTTCAAATGCTCCAAGGATTTCATGTCTCTCAAGTGCCCTCCTCTTGGACATTTGTACTGCACGTTAAAAACATCAGGAATTCCAACCCTTGGAACAACCATAAGTACTCGGAAGGGTTGCCCATTTTCGCTTTTCCATACTCGATGCAAGCAGCCATACACTAACTTTAAACTGCTCCGTTCTGTCCAATATGATTTTGTGACTGGCCTTCCTGTAGTTATTTCTCCAATCGTTGTACATTGGTTCAACTCCACCTTATGTAATGCACCTTCCAATTCTGGATCTTCTTGCACAGAGTCATCCGTTTCAGGTTCATTTTTATGCTGATCTTCCACCTGTGATGGTATACACGCTTCCTGCTCTTCCAACTGTAAGGACACTTGTGCTGGTATCCAAGCTTCTTGCTCTTCTAACTGTGAGGAACCTTTTACTGGTTCACACGCTTCCTCCTCTTGCAACTGTGAGAACACCTGCCCTGACATACGCAGTTCCAGCTCTTTCGACTGTGAGGACCCTTACTGGTACACCGCTCTCCTCTTGCAACTGTGAGACACCTGCCCTGCACGCAGTTCCCGCTCTTTCGACTGTGAGGACCCTTGTACTGGTACACCGCTTCCTCCTCTTCCGACTGTGAGGACACCTGCGCTGGCATGCGCCCGTTCAGTTCTTCCGACTGCGAAGACACTTTTGCTGTATACAAACTTCTTGCTCTTCATACTGGTAATACGTAACCCT